CAAGCGTTTGACCGGTTCGTTTGACGCGCGACCCATTCTTCTTGGCGCGCTTGAAAAGAGTCGCCATTCATTCGGTGGTTGAGGTGCTGTTTGCCTCTTCTTTCTTCAACTCCGCGTACGCCCGGGTAGCGCGAATCCTCGTCCGTAGACTCCATCGCCTTAGCGAATTGCCGCCGCAACGGCGTTTGACGACGCTCTGCGGGCTCTCTTTTGAGAGACTCACAACGCCCTGAACAGTCTGCAGGCTGTTGCGGGAGTTTGTGTTGACCTGATTGGAGGTCGTGCCGAACTTTCATTTTTGACGCAACTTCGGCCGTCAGTTCGGGTTGAGAGCTTCGTGGGGCCTTCCGAGCAGCTCAACCCACGGAGCTTTTCTCCCGGAGGCAGAACTTCTTGGCTTACGGGCGGGAGATAGAGCCGGACGAGACACGTTACTCTCGAACTTAGGCTTGCGTCGACAAGCTCCGTTATACTCGACCTCTCTCCCACGCTCGGATTGCAACAAAAAAATTCCGCGCGGCTCCCGTGCCCGACGCATCGATCTCCCCTCCGTTGCCCCTCATCGTGAGGATCGCGGTGCCACTGTTGGCGTCCGCCCAGATTGTTCGCGCGCAAAAACTCTCCCCCCCACGTACGCTTTCTTCATTAATGAGATTACATGTTCATCTATGAGTTACACTTTTTGAGTTACAAAGTGATCCCGTCTTTTTAGAATGCCGGTTACACACTAATCAAAAAGAAAAAATAAAGAAAAATTACAAACTCTCCTCTGTTGAACAAATCACGAGCTCCCTGTTTGCGGTCGCTCGCTTTGGTGGGTTCTTTGCCTGCGCCGGGGTTTAATCCGTGACACCGCCGCGATCTAGATTCCGGTCGGACTACACGAAGTATGCGGGTATTATTCCGACGGTAAGGTCGGTATATATAGCCAGGGCAAGGCGATTATCCACCAAGGCGAATAATCGCTCGGATCCTCGAGATCTTAAGACCCAAGCCTTTATGATCTGGAGTAGTAGTCCTCGTGTTAAGATCTCAGATTCTGTCTTTCTTCCTCTGCGAGATTCCTGCCTGTTTCTGACAGTGTGCATGGTCGCCGAGGATCAGATCTGTCCTCCCGCGTGCAAGTCTTTCTGCGTCTTCAATTCGAGTTCACTCTTTCAATCCTCGGCATAGCAGTTTTCGGCTCTTGAAAGTTCGACCTGCCGAAAATGAACATCTCTTAGGCCTATTTTATAGGCTGTCAGGACAGTGCGCTGCAAAAAGAGAATTGTCGGCCACCTCTGGGCTCACTGGTCTGGCCCACCCGCCGGGCCACTAGTCGGGCCACCTCGGGTGGCGGACACTGTGCCTAGCCACCTTGGGGGTGGTATGCGCTCGGCCTCATGCCGAGCCACCGAAAAGGGTGGCTTCGTGCCAATCCGCAGCCACCCCGAGGTGCTCGCGCCGCGCAATGCCACCCCGAGGTGGTGCTCGGCTTGAGGGCCGAGACCGCCAATTAGAGACTGCGCATGCGGCTAATTTAAAGGCCGAGGCCCCAAGGCTGGGCGGCTACGGTTTATTTATCGTGGGGGGGGATTTATACGAGTCAGTTTTCCGTCTGCTCTCGTTTTGTCCGATTAAGATATACAGGATGAATCTGAGACTACATAGAATATTAGAATGTCTAGAAAAATTTAGCCAGTTAATTTGAGTATCGATTTAGAGCAGTACATTCCTGTTGCACTTTGGCGAGCTCCAATCCGGCTTCACTGAGCCGAGTCCGAAACTGATCTTGATACCCGAATCAAGTGGATTCGGCTCCGAGTCCGCACTCCGAGTCCTGATAGGACTAACAGAATATGATATATCCTCTCAACTCATTTAGCTTAATTACTGCACACAATCGGTGTGGATTTCATTCCGCTCGCTTTCCTGTCCGCGATTCGTCGATCTCGTCGCCTCGTTGGTTCGTCGGTTTGTGCCGAGCTATGCTAGGGGACCTATAAGCAATTTTATATGCCTACACATTATGTATGAAATTAGATGGGAAATTAACAAAATTTGTAACTGTGAAGTTAACAAAATATCAAGTTTATTGGTTTCTAATATCGATCTAAGATATTTAATGGTTAAAATTATGGGTTTTTAATGGTGGGTTTCTAATATTGATATTGAATTTTTTACTCTTCAGAGGTAACAATGAACGATCGAATCATAATTCTTTGTTCATATGATGGGAAGATTAACTATCTTGAAAATAATATGCTCGTTTATGAAGGAGGTGTCACGAAACTGTTGTTTATATCAAAATCGTTTACTTTCGATGAATTGGTTAATAACTTACACAAATTTATATTAACCAACTCACGTGAGTATCACCTCAATATTATTTACAATTATCCTGTTGGGGGAACAGAACAAGCAGCATTCAAATCTCAAGTGACTATGATATGGGTCTTATTGGAGTGTTACATGATGAGAAGTGTTTGGTGGAATTATTTATTGAAAAACATCATAGAAATTTGAGCAAATCAGTGAATCATGATGGAATATACTCCCGCATGTTGGAGGACCTTGAAGTTAACTCCGTTGGCTTTTTATCTCCACAACAAGATGAAGGTTGGACACAGTCAGAATACATGAGCAGTCCTTCATTTGTGGGCACTTCTAATATCAATACTAACACGACCCATCTAGATGATAATGCAAGTATCGAATCCGAAGATGGTGATGAAGAGGATGACTTACAAATTAAAAGCATAACATGTTTGATTGATCGTGATGAAGGGGACAACTAATACATTAACGGATATTATACTAATAATGAGTATGTTGTGTTAGAGGATCCGTCACCCGATGAACTTCATAAAGAAGAATGGATTGATAACTCCACGATGGAAAGTATTCCTATCGGCACTAATATCGTTGATGATACACAAGGCGAGGACTTCTCATTTAAGAAGGGGGATCTATTTGAAAGTAAGGAGAAATTGATTCATGTGCTTCGTTTATGGGCCATTGAAAAAATGTTAAGTTTAGGCCAACAAAAAATAACACAACAAACTATAATGTGATTTGTTTTATCGCAAAGATGGCGAAGACGAAGATAATAGTGGAAACTATGATGGCAATGTGAAATGTCCTTGGAAGCTTAATTCACGCTTAGGCGTAAGAGTAGGTGGGCAATTTAAAATCACGGCTTACAACGGGCTCCACACATGTAGCAATCCTTGATTAGAGATGAATAACAAGCATGTATCTGCATCTTTTATATATCGATTGATTTTACCTAATCTAAGGGAGGATCTTGATCTAAGACCAAAAGATATTCGTCTTTTAGTGCATAAAACGATCAAATTGGATGTCATACAACAAGTGTTGGAATGCTAAGAGGAAGGCGACGATAAAAATATTCGGGGCTTGGGACAAATCTTATGAGATCTTACCACATTATCTTGAAGCATTCAAAAGAGAAAATCTAGGGACTGTCTATGAAATATCATCATACCCTGTTGATGGTAGAGAATGATGGTTCACAGGTGTATTTTGGGCATTTGGCCCTTGTATTGAGAGCTTTAGATATTGTCATCCTCTTCTTAGCATTGATGACGCCTACTTGTACGGTAAGTACAAAGGCATTTGCTTGTTATAACCGGAGTTGACGAAGATGGCAGATTATTTCCTTTGGTGTTTATAGTGGTTGATGTTAAAAACACAGAGAATTTGGCTTTGTTTTTTTTGCATGTATTAGATATCATATCCCTATGTGAGGGCGCAGTTAATTACATTCATATCTAATAGGATGAAAGGAATTCTAAGAGCACTCCAACAACATTTCCCGTAGCCACATGAACATCATTATTGCTTGCGACATATTAGGGACAACTTCACGAAGAAGCATGGAAACGGGCAGGTTCAAGATCTTCTTTGGAAAGCCGGCTGTGTAACAGAAAAATTAGTTTATGATTAAATACGAGAGAGGATTAAGTTCATTTCACGAGCTGCACATGAATGGATTGAAACTAGTTTGGGACCACACAATATTGATAAGTGAGCTTTATATGAAGATAGCGAGAAGTGGTTCTGTATGATGACTACAAACGCTTCTAAGAGCTTCAATGGTGTGTTTAGGGGAGCACGCGGTATGCCAATACAGTCATTAGTTGCTAAAACATTTTACAGACTTAATAATTTCTTTCTCCGACGTTGAGAACTTAGTGCAAATATCCTCTCAGAGCTCACGCTGAAGGTTGAAGAAATGTTAGCGGCTCAGATTGTCTTCGCTTGATCATTTTATATCGTAAGATACAGTTTTAATGAATGAGAGGTCATTGAGGGAATATCACATAGAGAAAGTTGCTCGTACATGTTTGCGTCAGAAACAAATTTTATTATAGAATTCATTATAACTGTTTATCGATTACAATGAATACAGAAGAGTGAGCATTGTGCTTCATAAAAACTACTCTTTACAACAAAATCAACTTAAGAGTGTTCCCTAGAAACACACGCAAGATTGTATTGGATCGCTGCTTATGTGAGACCTTTGCCTGTGCTGAGGGTGCGTTAGCCCATGGACGGCCGAATCACAGATCTAATTTGAACTGTAAAGAAGGCTTAGGGTCGATGTTTCATTTTAGAAAAAAGACAAAAGTGAATATCTTAGCAAAGTAAGATAAAACACTCTTCTCAAGATCAAGTCAAAGCTTAGATCTAGAGGAAACGCCGAAAGGCTTCTCGGATGTGCTTGAAATTGATGAAGACTCTCTTTCGTGCTCAAAGTTCACTAAAGTGCTTAAGTTTCTACTCTATCTGCCTTGGTATTCTCTCCTCCTCATCAGTAATGACCCTAGGAAGGTATTTATAACCTCTAAGAACCATAACTAAAGTCTGGTCTCTCCTCCTCATCAGTAATGACCCTAGGAAGGTATTTATAACCTCTAAGAACCATAACTAAAGTCTGGAGTTGAAAAGAAGTTGTGTCGAACCCTAGGAAGGTATTTATAACCTCTAAGAACCATAACTAAAGTCTGGAGTTGAAAAGAAGTTGTGTCGATGAACTTCTATTTTTGAGACACTCGCAGCTTTCTCGAAAATAGGGCTCATTTCCAGTCGTTTTGTAACTGCTTCAACCACGTTTTAATGCTATTTTTCAGTACTTATTGGCGTGATTTTTGCGTGTAACTGCTCCCCCACGTTTATGGATGATCCCCATCAGTTATGAAGCCACGTGGACTGCACAAAACTCAAGAAAACCATTATCAAGTCCACTCTAATTTCCGAGACAGTTGCAAGTGTCTCAGAAACTTTGTTATGTCTTTATAGCTTCCGATTCAGAAACTATGATTTACCTTCATAGTTTCCGAGATAGCAGCAATTGTCTCGGAAACTATAAGTCTTCTCATAATTTCTGAGACACGTTTTGTGCCTCGAAACTTGTGTGATGCACTTATTGGGCATCTCTTGGTTGACCTTTAGCTTTGGTTGATCCTTTATAACTTAGATAATGACGTTTATCACATTCTCTTCATCTTGAGCTATGTGTGATACCTTATAGGTAATTTTTAGCCCCTACAGATACCCCCTCTAAAGTGTTTAGCCTTATTTTTTTATAGAGGAGGCTAGAATTCTTTGGATATGATACGTCCAACCTTCAATCCTTGGATTTCTTCAGCTTTTGGTCTATTTAGTATTTTGTCGAATAGCCAAACTTTTTTCAATGCTGCGTTTATCGTCTGACCGTTGTTAAAATCTTAAACTGAAGCTGTTGTGTTGATTTATGAATTAGCTCGTGTCATTGAACCGACGATGAACTGATCATCTTAAACTCTCAGGGATTATCCTTGGTCTTGGAATTGATCTGCACCTTGTTTCGGAAAAGTTATCGATGCTTATCAACGCATTGACTGGCGTCGATCTTCATTGTGATGAAAACACAGTTTATACTCGTACGTTAACTGGAGTCTACATAGTTTAGGCTCTTAGGGAGGTTATTCATTGGGGTAATTTTGGGGATAATGGGATAATTTTTGGAACATCACTTTTTGGTGTTATTCATTGGAGTAATTGGGGCTGGATTCACCTTGATGGTGTTATTGGTTTGTTGGGTTTTTTGTAGGACAAATTCCCCACTTCCCCCAAAATTACCCCAACTATATAATGACTGCTCAGCTCCACCCTCAAAATTTACCCCATTTTTTCCTGGAACAAGAGGGGAACAAATTCCCCACATCCGTTCTCGAGCTTGATCGCCCGCTCCGCCATTGCCGTTCTCGAGCTCGATTTTCGCCGTTCTTGAGCTTGATCGCCTGCTCCACCGTCATCGTTCTCAAGCTCAATTACCTGCTCTGTCGTCGTCGTTCGCCCGCTCCGTCGTCGCCATGCTCGAGCTCGATCGCCCACTTCACTGTCATCGTTCTCGAGCTCGATAGCCCCAAGCCGGGATTTCCCCACCGCCATCTCCTCCACCGCCTCCTCCGCCACCTTAACCTACCCAACCCAGGTACGTGCTCTGAATTGTTTCTCCCTTTCATCTCCCTCTATATTATAGCATCCCTAATGTTTGATATCAGTGCTCCAAACTAACAATATTAGCTTGATATTTTTGTTCTAACAAAGACGAGCACGGGAAAGGATGTAATTAATGTCTTGACATTCTAGAGAACCATAATGCTTATTACAGTAACTTAAATCATATAATAAATAATAAGTGCTGAAGTAATTGGGACGAATTGTCATTATAGTGATGTGTATTATCATTTTTGTACATATACATATTCTGTATTATATCCAATTTTCTTTGAATAGTTGTTTGCATTGGTAATGAAGTGTTAGAGGGAGTTCTGAGCTTTATTACTGATTGTGAGACTTGTAATGCAATGTAATGCAATGTCAGTTGCATGATATATCAAGTTAAACTTGAACTTAATTGAGCTATAAATATAATATTATAAAAAGATGTCATACCAATTGTCCCACTCAAGTTGTCCCATTATCTCATTTTACCCTATTTTATCCCACTCAAATTATCCCATTAGGTAAAATTATCCCATTGGAACAATTTTACCAAATTTGCCCCAAATTACCCCAATGAATAACCCCCCTTAAGGCATTGGAGCAGGGAGAATTAGTTTATACTCATGTACTCCTCAGAGTTTTTGGGAATTAATTTAACCTCATATACCCATTGGAGGTTTAAGGAGATATAGTTTATACTCGTATACTCATTGGAGTATTCAAATGTACTAAAAATGGGTCGAGAATGCTCCATGGACGCAACCGGGAACACTTTGGGTCGGCCCCTTTTCTGAGATAGTCGCCATTGTCTCGGAAGCGCGAGACAGTGTTGCTGTCTCGGAAGTACGAGACAGTTATAACTTTCTCAGAAATGGGCGGATAGAGGGGTTCCATCAACTTATAAAACCTGACACTTGGGCTTTTCCTCTATGTTTGGCCGCCTCCTCTGAGTTCAAAACCCTCCAAAGTCTTTCTTAAAGAGTCCTCAACGCTTCCTCTTCTCCTTTGGCTTGGATTTGATCGGATCTCACTCTAAAGACCTAGGGTTTCATCATCTTCCTTCGAGGTTTGATCTCCTCCTCCCATTTCTCTTCATTAAAGTTTGCATATTTCTTGATTCTTGATGAAATCCGAACCCTTAGGTGTCATCTCCATGATATTGTTCGATTCTAACCTCAAGACCCAAACTTTTCTTGATTTCTAGGTCAAAAATCATCTCTTTTCACCATGTCTCCCAAGAGATCTCGCGTGCCCCGATGTAGATCAGCCTCCTATGCAGCTGAGGGAGAGGGTCCCGCGGTTGCTTCCTATGGAGGTGGTATTTCTAAAAAATTTTCAATTCACGAGTTAGAATTTTGTGAACTTTGTATGTAGATCCTCGTTTGTTCTCCTTTGAGAAACATTCGGAAAGAGCCGGTATCCTCCTTCGTGGGGATCGATGCTAAAAGGTGTTGTTTTACTTGGCCAAAACACATCTCAAGGAAAAAGGGGTGTTTTCATGTTGTTCCGCATTTTATAAGGCCAGATATATCATCATAGTGTTCGCATACAACGATGTGTATTGCCTTTTGTGCGTGTAACAATTAAAACCGTCTCGCCTATCACAAGGTGGTGACTCTATTGTTGGCCTTCTTGTTTTGATGATGATTTACAAACAATTTTATTTAATATTATTTGTCTAGTATTTGTGTTTTATATTTATTCTAGGCAAATAATATGGTAGAGGATGGATGGATTGCGCCATAACGATCATATCAAATGGAGGTTGGCGGAATAGTGGAGTAAAGTCTTACTATCAAGTTAAAGATCTAATTACAAGTTTCATCCAAGTTTACCAAGTTGAGCTACAATGAAGATCAAGATCAAGCTTGGGTAACATGGATTGCGCCATAACGATCATATCAAATAGAGGTTGGCGGAATAGTAGAGTGAAGCCTTGCTATCAAGTTAAATATCTAATTATAAGCTTCATCCAAGTTTACCAAGTTGAGCTACAATGAAGATCAAGATCAAGCTTGGGTAACATTAGTTTAGGTTCATATTATGTGTGTTGATACTTTAAGCTCAATCATATACACACACATTATATTTGTTTCCCTGTATATATATAGTTATATATATATACAACACAAGTTTTGTTTTTCATATATATATATATATAATCTAATTCGGATTATCGAAAGAATCAACACTATGAATTAAGGAAAGATGCTGGAAGGGTTATATCTTCCGAATCCAAGTCAAAATTCAATATGATCCAGAGGCCACAGAATACTGTCAAATTTACGTCTGCTGGTTCTTCAACTTGGAAGGATGTCTGTACTATGGGCAGAGAAATTAGTCCGAACTGTGCTCTGGAATATTTTCCTCCATCTACTGATAGCAAAGGTATGAAATATGCATCTATTCCTAGATCTGAGATTATGTTGAATGTAGAAAAATGGAATAGTACATTAATTGGGTATGTTCTTGGAGACAAACTTTTTTATTCACACCTTAAAGGATGTGTTGGCCGCCTTTGGAAATTAACATGTTCTCTTGAAATATACTCTAGAGAAAATGGATTTTTCTTTTTTAAATTTGGATCAAATGAAGAGATGAACAGAGTCTTGAATGGTGGCCCTTGGTTATTTGATGGAAGATTAATCATTCTGAAAAAATGGACTGAGAATTCAGGCCTTGAACGTGAACTTCTTTCTACTGTGCCAGTTTGGATCAGGTTTCCCTCTTTGCATCTTAAACTATGGTCAAATAATATCATTGGGAGAATTGATAGTCTTGTGGGTATCCCTCTATTATTGATCAAGCAACAGCTTCAGGTGAGAGATTAGCCTATGCTAGATGTTTTGTAGAAATTTCCTCAAAATCCAAACTCCCAAATTCTGTCAGATTGGAGTTAGGAAATGGAGAGTGGTTGGAAACAAATGTAGAGTATGAATGGATACCACCGAAATGTAATAAATGTTTAAATTTTGGTCATGTTGATTATCAATGTCCTGTGGTTCTAATTGAGAAATGGATCCCTAAAGAATCTTCTATTGAATCAGATAGGAGTATTAATCCAAAACAGGATGGGGCTCAAGATATAACAGTTCCAGATGAAAATCAAGATTGTGTCTGCCCAAATGAAAATCAAGATGAAATTTCTAATAAAGAGGAAGTTTCCAACTCTTTTTCTACAGGTGATACTGCTATGGATGAGTATTTTGATGGAAATGATAGACAAATAAACAAGAATTTTGTTATAGAGGGGGTTCTTCCACATACTGATGAAATTGGATTTAAAGTCAGAAAAATTGATGAAATTAATATAGATGAAGACTGTTCTGATACTGAGGTCCATTTGGAGAAGGAAAAGGTTACTCAATATGTTCTGAATCAAGAAAATCAAAAAAATCAACATTTTAAAGAGTTACCAGTTAAGAATATCTGTGAAGATACCACTAAAGAGACTACAGATACACTAATTCCTTCTATGCAGAATGATACCTCTTATCAAGCTGGTAATTCAAGGCTAAACATAAACAGTTCTGAAAATATTGATGCATTACTTGTAGGAAGTGATAAGGAGAAGGAGTCAAATATTGACTTTCCAATCTCTATTGATAACCCTGAATGGTTAAGTGAAAAAATCAGATACAGATGAAGAAGAAAAATCAGTTAAAATTGATGAAAGAGCTATCTTCGGGTCCTAAAAGAGTAACTAGGGCCTCCTCCAACAGTAACTCATGACAATGCTTATCTGGAATGTTCGTGGCATGAATAATGGGGGAAGGAGAAGAGATATTAAAAGACACATCCATTCTTTGAAACCAAATATTGTTGGTTTGTTAGAGACTAAAGTTAAATCAACTAAATCTTACAGAATCACAAACTGTATTCCATCTTACTGGTCATATTGTAATAACTATACTGCTTCAAGTAGAGGGAGAATATGGGTAGCATGGGATGCTGATATATGGAATGGGACAGTGATTTCAGCCACTCTTCAACAGATTACCATTAAAATGCAAAACATTGGAGGTTTCACTATGATGTTGAGTGTAATATATGGTGAGAACTCTGAACTTCTCAGATCTTCTTTATGGTCTGATATCAGAAATATCTCTACTCAGATTAATAATCTACCATGGATACTTGCGGGAGATTTCAATGTCTGTAGATTCACTTCAGAGAAAATAGGAGGAGTTAAGTTGACAGCAAAGAAACTTAAAGATTTCAATGATTGTCTACAGTTTTGTGGGCTTTCTGATATTAAGAGTATTGGTTCTTCTTGGACATGGCACAACAATCAGGAAGGAATAGGCAGAATTTATGGCAAATTGGATAGAGCTCTGGGAAACTCAATGTTGTTTGATAAATTTCCTCAAGCTTATATAGAGTACAAATGTTCTTCTTCTAGTGATCATACTCCAACAGTTGTTCAGCTTGTGCCCCTTACTCTTTCAGAACCTAAACCTTTCAAATTCTTTAACTTTTGGACACAATGTAAAGGTTATGAGGAGACAGTTAGCAAAGTATGGTTAAATCATATAGTAGGCTCTCCTATGTTTGTGCTGGTCTCCAAGCTCAAATCCCTTAAAGGTGCTCTGAAACAATGGAATAAACAGCCTGATACTTCACCTAAAGCTAATATCATCAAGTTATCTAACCAATTGAAGATCATTCAAACTATGCTAGATAAGGATATGGATAATGTTGAACTACAAATCACAGAATCAGCTTTGAAATTTGAGCTTAATGGTTGGCTAGACAAGGAGGAGTTGGAACTGAGACAAAAAAGTAGACAGTTATGGTTACAGCAAGGGGATAAAAACTCTGTCTTCTTTTATAATTCTATTAAGAATAGGATCTCTACAAACAGTATCAGGTACCTTATTGATCAAAATGGCTCCCCGATTACTACTGGTGATAATATGAAACTTGTTGCTCCTAAGTTTTAT